CGGGCCTCTGTGCAAAGCCGGCCCCCGAGGAGGAGCTGTGGGCAGCCCCTCAGGGTGGGAGGAGCCGTCGGGCCCCAGCATTGCCTGCGGGGGGCCCCCCCGCGTGCAGACGGGGCAGCCACCAGCCCAGGAGCAGCCCCCCCAGAGTGTGGGGCCGGCGGTCCCGCGTCGTCCTGGGGGGCGGCCCCCAGCTCCCAGGCCAGCCGCCCCTCCCCGCCCGCCCGCCCTGCTGTCCCGGCGCCTCCCCCGCTGCCTCTCCGGCCCCTCCAGGAGAGTAACCGCCCTGACCGCTGCTCCGCCCGTGTGCCCGCCCTAACCCGCTAACTTTCTGCCCTCCCAGGTCCGATGACAGCGACTCCTCTATGTCCGAGGCCCTGAGGTACCGGCCGCCGCGTCCCCCCAGCCCCCTCTCTCCGCTCGCTCTCTCTGCCCCGCCCACCTGCACCCGTCCTCAGCATGCACCCTCGTCTCCACCCCCAGGGCCCTCCCGCCCCGGTCCCTCCTCTCCTGGCGGCTGCCTGGCCTCTGCTGCCCCCCGACTGGCTGGACTGGGGCGCGCGGGGAGGGGCGTGCGGGCACTGTCACGGCCTGCCTTCTGCTCCCTCATCACCGGGGGGCGGGTGTGGGGGGAGCATGGAGCCGGGGGGGCGGACAGGGTGTGGGTGGCGGTGCTCGGCGTCCTGACCCCTGCTCCCTCGTCATGGGGGGCGGGTGTGGGGGGAGCATGGAGCCGGCGGGCGGGCAGGATGTGGGTGGCGGTGCCCGGCGTCCTGACCCCTGCTCCCTCGTCATGGGGGGCGGGGTGTGGGGGGAGCATGGAGCCGGCGGGCGGGCAGGGTGTGGGTGGCGGTGCCCGGCGTCCTGGGCGCTCGGGCTGTGTCGGTATCGCACGCTCAGACCCCGGCTCTGCCCCCAGCCCCACCTCCTGGCACAGGGACCAGGAGTGCTGGGGAGATGGGGGCCCCTCTCCCCCAGCCAGCCCAGCAGAGCACCCCAGGGCCCTGAGCCCGGGGCCCCAGCCGAGCTGAGAGCTCTCCCACCAAGCCCCCCGCTATCCGCTCGCCGGCCCTGGGTGCTGGCCGTCCTGCCGTCCCCCCCACCCCCACAGGATCCACCAGCCCCTCCCGAGCAGGGTTAGCCCTCTCCGCTGCTCCCCACAGCCGCTCCGGCCTTCCCGGCCACAGCCGGGCGCCGGCGAGGGCGGGGCGGGAGCTGGGACACGCGGGGGCTGCTGGTGCGCACCCTCGACCGGCACTGGGCCCTGGACCCTTGTCTGACGGCGCCTTTGGGCGGGGGAGTCCCTGGGGCCGTGAGCAGCCTGCAGGGGGACGTGGCTCATTTCCTCCCGCCCTCGGCCACGGCGCCCGCCCCTGTCGGTCGGCAGGCGTTCTCTCTGGAAAAGAGCGAGGACGTGCTTTCAGACCCGCACAGCCTGGCCGGCCTCACGCCCAGGGGCCCCTCATCTGTGTATATAAAAGCCTAACAGCAAAGGGTCCCCTCAGGAGCTCACTGGCTGGGAGTTTGATCAGCTATGACGTGCGCTGACCACCAGGGGGCAGCACGGAACGAAGGGAGTCCCTGGCCGGTGGCCGGCGGCCGGCAGCCGGCAGCTGTGCACAAATGTCCTGCCCTAGGCCTTCAGCTGCGAAATAACATCTCCATCCCGAGCTGCAGGGGCTGGTGGAGGGGCTGGCGCTGAGCTCAGGTCCCTAAAGGGGCTGATCCTTTGTCAGCGACCCTCAGGGGTCTGGCCGCGCTGCTGTGGGGGCCGTGGGGGGGGGTGCGTCTGCGTGAGCCGCTGTGCGTGGGGGATGGCCCGGCGGATGGAATGCTGGGATGGAGTGCGGGCGGCGGCCCGGCCCCTCCCTCTGCGCCCGGCCCCCCGGTTCCCCGAGGCAGTCTGGGGGGGTCATGAGGTCACAGGACCCCCAGCCCGTGGCCTCCGCCTGCCCAGCTGGCGTTTTGTCTTTAAATCTATTTTTTTTTTAATTTTTAAATATATTTCTTTATTGATTTCAGAGAGGAAGAGAGAGAGAGAGAGAGAGAGAGAGAGGAGAGAGATGGAAATATCTATGAGAGAGAATCATGGATCGGCCGCCTCCTGCACGCCCCCCATCGGGAATCGAGCCCGCAACCCGGGCACATGCCCTTGGCCAGAATCGAACCCGGGACCCCCCAATCTGCGGGCTGACGCTCTATCCACTGGGCAACCTGGCTAGGGCTTTGGATCTATTTTTATTGATGTCAGAGAGGAAGGAGGAGGGATAGAGAGAAACATCTGTGATGAGAGAGGATCATGGACTGGCTGCCTCCTGCACGCCCCCCCCCCCCCCCAATGGAGGATGGAGCCTGCCACCCGGGCCTGGGCCCTGACCGGGAATCGAACCCCGACCTCCTGGTTCCTGGGTCGCTGCGCAACCGCTGAGCCCGCGGGCGGGGAGGAAGGGGGTGGCCTGGGTGCTTTTACGTCTCGGGATGCGGTCAGGCTGGCGAGGGCGGGAACTGCCGAGGCAGGGCTGCGCCTGGACCGGGCGACTCCGGCGGCCGCGGGGCCCCCTGACCGCTCGCCCACTCGCCTGCTTCCCGGCTCCGGCTGCTGGCGGCCCCTGTCAGGCCCCGGTGCCTGCTCCGTCCTGTCCCCCCTCAGCCGGGCGGGGTCCCCGGCTGACGGTCCTCTCCCTCTGTCTGTCCGGAAGGGGCACCATCACGCCGGTGGGCGGAGCCAAAGGCGGGCGGACGGCCCCGCTGCAGTGCGTCTCCGTGGCCGAGGGCCACACCAAGCCCGTGCTCTGCCTGGACGCCACGGACGAGCTGCTCTTCACCGGCTCCAAAGGTGGGTGTCGCGCCCCGGCCCGTGCGGCTCAGTGAGCAGAGCGTCCGCCTGCAGACTGAAGGGTCCCGGGTTCGATTCCCGGTCGGGGCACAGGCCCGGGGGGTGGGCTCCATCCCCAGTGGGGGGCGTGCAGGAGGCAGCCGCCTGTGATTCTCTCTCCTCGTGGGTGCTTCTCTCTCTCTCCCTCTCCCTTCCTCTCGGAAATGAATAAAAACATAAAATAATGATGGTGCCAGCTCAGCAGTCAGGGCAGCGGGCACAGACGTGTGGTGGTGGGGGGGGGTTGAGCAGACGGACGGGGCCTGACGTCCGGGCCCCGTCTCCCCACCCCTGGGAGCCGCCGCCCGGCGGGGATCGGCCTGGGAGCCGCCGCTGACGCCGTGCCCCCCCCCCCCCAGACCGCAGTTGCAAGATGTGGAACCTGGTCACCGGGCAGGAGATCGCCGCCCTCAAGGGCCACCCCAACAACGTGGTGTCCGTCAAGCACTGCGGCCACTCGGGGCTGGTCTTCTCCGTGTCCGCCTCCTTCGTGCGGGTCTGGGACATCCGGGACTCGGCCAGGTGCATCCGCACCCTCACGTAGGTGCCCTCGGGGCGGGGGCGGGGGGGGGCTCCCGGCCGCCGAGCTCGGCCTGGGCCTCCCGGCCGCCAGTCGGGGAGGGCTTCCTGGAGGAGGTGGCCTTTCCGGCCGCTCCGACGGGGGACCGAGTCTCCGGCGGCCGGTGTGGACGGACGGGACCGGTTTCACCTCTGACTCGCCCCCCCCCCCCCCCGCCGCAGGTCCTCGGGTCAGGTGATCGCGGGGGACGCCTGCGCGGCCACCTCCATGCGGGCCCTCTCCAGCGCGCAGGGCGAGCAGCAGATCAACCAGATCGCCCTCAGCCCCTCGGGCGGCCTGCTGTACGCCGCCTCGGGCAACGCCGTGCGCATCTGGGAGCTCAGCAGGTGGGGGGGAGGGGGGAGGGAGCTCAGCAGGTGGGGGGAGGGGGGAGGGAGCTCAGCAGGTGGGGGGAGGGGGGCTGGGAGCTCAGCAGGTGGGGGGGAGGGGGGAGGGAGCTCAGCAGGTGGGGGGGAGGGGGGAGGGAGCTCAGCAGGTGGGGGGAGGGGGGCTGGGAGCTCAGCAGGTGGGGGAGAGGGGGGAGGGAGCTCAGCAGGTGGGGGGAGGGGGGAGGGAGCTCAGCAGGTGGGGGGGAGGGGGGAGGGAGCTCAGGTGGGGGGGAGGGGGGCTGGGGAGCTCAGCAGGTGGGGGGGAGGGAGGGGGGAGGGGACTGGGAGCTCAGCAGGTCGGGAGGAGGGGGGGAGGGGGGCTGGGGTGGGGGGGGACTGGGACCTCAGCAGGTGGGGGGGAGGGAGGGGGGAGGGGACTGGGAGCTCAGCAGTTCGGGGGAGGGGCCGCCTCCCGGGCCCCCCGCCCCCCGGGCCCCCCTGACCCTCCTGCCGCCGCCCGCAGGTTCCAGCCCATCGGCAAGCTGACCGGCCACATCGGGCCCGTGATGTGCCTCACGGTCGCCCAGACGGCCAGCCAGCACGACCTGGTGGTCACCGGCTCAAGGACCACTACGTGAAGGTGCGCACACGCGTTTCCCGGCCCCGCCCTCCTCCCCCCTTCCTCCTCCCACCCCTTCTCCCTCCCCCTCCTCCCTCCTGCCTCGGCCTCGGGACACTCATGGGGGGAAAAGCAATTTCTGCGATTTTTTTAAATATTTAATTTTATTGATTTCAGAGCGAGAGGGGGAGAGGGAGAGAAACAGCAATAATGAGAGTCATAGGTCAGCTGCCTCCTGCGCGCCCCCTGCTGGGGATGGAGCCCGCACCCCGGGCCTGTGCCCTTGACCAGGAATCGAACCCGGGACCCTTCAGTCCCAAAGGCCGGCGCTGTCTCCACGGAGCCACCCCGGCCAGGGCCACGTGTGGATGCTTCTATCTCCCTCTCCCCGCCCTCTTCTCTGAAATCAGTAAAAATATTTTTTAAATAAAAATAAAGAACGTTAGACGGAGGCACGCCGGGTTCTCCGAAGCAGCTCCTGCTGAGCTGGGCCCACGCCCGATCCTGCACCCGGCGGGGCTGCCCGGGAGGGGGGGAGGGGCAGACCTCGGTCCCGGCTCCTGCCCCCCCCCGGCCGCACCCCGGCGGCGGCTCCGGCCAACGCCCCCCCCCCGCCCCCAGATGTTCGAGCTGGGGGACAGCCCGGCCGGCACCCTCGGCCCACCCACAACTTGGAGGCCCCCGCACTACGACGGCATCGAGAGCCTGGCCATCCTGGGCGGCGTGCTGTTCAGCGGCTCCCGCGACGCCGGCGTCAAGAAGTGGGACCTGGAGCAGCAGGAGCTCATCCAGGTGCGGCCGCGGCGGGGTCTCGGGTTCGAGCCCGGGACGGCCCGGGAGAGACCCGGAGGCAGAGGGGCAGGCGGCCGCGGTGCGGGTCCCATCCGGGTCCCCGCCGGCCTCACCCCGCCCGCCCCTCCCGCAGCAAATCCCCAACGCGCACAGGGACTGGGTGAGCGCCCTGGCCTTCGTGCCGGGCCGGCCCCTGCTGCTGAGCGCCTGCCGCGCCGGCCTCCTCAAGGTCTGGAGCGTGGACGGCTTCGCGCCCCTCGGCGAGATCAAGGGCCACGACAGCCCCATCAACGCCGTGTGCACCAACGGCAGACACGTGTTCACCGCCTCCAGGTGCGCGGGGGCGGGAGGGGGCGTGTCCACCGCCTCCGGGTGGGCGGGGCCGGGGGAGGGGGCGTGTTCACGGCCTCCAGGTGCGCGGGGCGGGGCGTGTTCACGGGTGGGCGGGGCGGGGCGTATCCACGGCCTCCGGGTGGGCGGGGCGGGGAGGGGGCGTGTCCACCGCCTCCAGGGGGCGGGGCGGGGAGAGGGGCACGTGTTCACGGCCTCCAGGTGGGCGGGCGGGGCGTGTCCGCCGCCTCCGGGTGGGTGGGGGCGGGGCGGGGGGCGTGTTCACCGGCCTCCAGGTGGGCGGGTGGAGGGAGGGGCATGTGTTCACGGCCTCCAGGTGGGCGGGGCCGGGGAGGGGCGTGTCCACCGCCTCCGGGTGGGCGGGGGGTGCCGGGCGGATCCCCGGGGCCCAGGGGCAGGGCAGCAGGCAGGCGTCGGCCCGGCCAGGCCATGCCCACCAGCCCCCCCGCCCCCTGGCGGCCCTCACTCCTGTCCAGGCTCTCCCACCGCCCCCTGACCCCGCCCCCCGGCCCTGCCAGGGGCACCGGGCGCTCCAGCCACCCGGCTGCTCACAGAGGCCTCCTCTTCCCTCTCCTCCGAACTTGACCTGACCCCTCCTCCTCTCCCCCTCCCCTCCGCCTTCTCGCTCTGCCTCTCTCCCCTCTCTCCCCCTCCCTCCCCTCCCCCTCCCCCTCTCCCTCCCTCTCCCTCCCCTCCCCTCTCTCCCCCTCCTCCTCCCTCCTCGCTCTCCCCCTCCCTCCCCCTTCCCTCCCTCGCTCTCCCCCTCCCTCCCCCTCCCCTCTCCCTCCCCCCTCCCCGCTCTCCCCCTCCCTCCCCCTCCCCCCCTCTCCCTCCCTCTCCCTCCCCCTCCCCTCTCTCCCTCTCCCTCCCCCCTCCCCCCTCTCTCCCTCCCTCCTCCTCTCCCCCTCTCTCCCGACAGCGACTGCCGGGTGAAGCTGTGGAGTTACGTGCCGGGACTCACCCCCTGCCTTCCGCGCCGGGTCCTGGCCATAAAGGGCCGAGCCACGACCCTGCCCTGACCTCCCTCCTTCCTCCTCCCTCCTCCTCCCCCCTCCCTCCTCCTCCCCCTCTGTCTCCCCCTCTCCCCCTCTCTCCACCGCGTCTGAGCTGCTCTCCTCCACGGTAGGAATCTGTTTTATCCTCCCGCTCCTCCCGGCTCCCCTCCTCCTCCTCCTCCTCCTCCTCCCCCCTCCTCCTTCTCCTTCCTCCTCCTCCTCCGGCCCCCCTCCTCCTCCGGCCCCCCTTTTCCTCCCCCTCCTCCTCCTCCTCCCCCCTCCTCCTCCTCCTTCTCCTCCCTCCTCCTCCTCCGGCCCCCCATCCTCCTCGGGCCCCCCTCCTCCTCCGGCCCCCCTTTTCCTCCTCCTCCAGCCCCCCATCCTCCTCCTCCGGCCCCCCTCCCGAGCATGAGCAGTGAGCGGGACAGGCCGGGCCGGGGCCAGGCATGGACGGCCATGGGGGCCTGTCGGGGGCACCTCTGCCCGCTCCCCCCGCCCCGGCCTCCTGGAGGCCGCCCTGAGCCCAGGGGCCCGGCCTCGGTGGGCAGTGGGGGCACCTGGGCAGGGCCGGCCGGGCCGTCCCGGCTGACCGCCGCGCTGTGCCCGCAGTGACCAGACGGTGAAGTTCTGGAGCGTCCGGCAGCTCCCCCGGGGCCCGCCCTAGGGCCGGGTCGGAGGACACCAAGCCTGGCCCCGCCCCCACAGCCCGGAGGCCTGGAGCGGACACGTGGCCGTGGGCCGGCGGCTGGGCGTGGACCAAGGCGCTGGCTCCTCCCCCTCGGCCTCCGGATGATGGACGGACATGACCCCTGACCCCTCACCCCACCCTCCCTCCCGCCGCCTCTGGGGAGAGAAAAGGGGGGACATTTAAGCTGTGACGCCCAAGGGCATACCCCTCTGGTGTCTCTCCTGGGCCGGCAGCCCCCCACCCACCCCACTCCCACCCCCACCCCACCCTCACTACACCCCCACCCCCACTCCAGCCCCACCCCACCCCACCCCCACCCATCCCCACTCCCACCCCAGCCTCTGGACACTGCACCTGCCTCTGAGCCCAAACCACAGACCTCAGGTAACCACGGAAACCAGGGGTAGGCAGCTGGCCCTGCCGCTCAGCTCAGCCCCACGATTCTCGGGGTCCCTCTCTGACGGCGATTCTCGGCCCCCCCCCCCCCGGCCGACGGCAGCCGCCCCCTTATTTATTGATATTTTTACCGGCTGCTTCGCCTCCTGGGAACGGACTTGAAGTTTCTTCCTTGCGGCCGTCCCCCTGCTTTTGGGGGCCCAGGAACCCGCCGGGGCCACCCCCTCTCTCGGCTGCAGCTCAGGCTGACCCCGCGTTGCCCCGGGGGCCCCCCGGGAGCCGACCTCCCCCGCCTGGTGCTCCAGTGCCTTCCTCTCCGTCCGGCCGGCTCCGGGGCTGGGCACCCTGACACCCGCCTCCTGTCTTCCCACCGGGGGCTCATGCCCTCCGCCACCGAAGGCGGGGCGCCCCCCCGGCCCAGGGCCCCGGGGGCGATGTGGGGAGCAGCTCGCATGCCGCCCACACCCCTCCCCCTCCCCCGTGGTCCCGTCCTCGCCCCGACCAGGAATGGACCGTGACGCCCTGGCTCCGAGGTCGACGCTCAGCCACGGGCCACGCAGGCCGGGCAGGGAGGTCGTCTTAGTGTGAACGGAAGGCCCTGCGAGGCCTGGCCCCCCTCCGCTGGGCCCCCCCGGCCGGCCCCCCGGTCGGGCCTGCTGAGAGCGGCCGGCTGGACGGGCGAGTGGACTCCCTTCCGGCCCGCGGGCCCCTCTGCCTTCCCCGCTGGAGACCCCTCTCCGGCCCTCCAGGGGCGTCCCTGCCCCCGGCCCCCCACTGGACAGAGGGCCCCCCGAGGACAACGTGCATGCAGGCGCTCTCCACGATGGACACTCGGGGGCTGCTGTGCGCGGCAGTGACCTGGGGGCGACCGGAGCCTCTCGGTGCTTGTCTGCTGTTCCCGGCGGGTCCGCTACCTCACGGCCCCGGCGCTGCCGTCCTGGCCACACTTGACGTCCCTCCGACTCCCCAGCCCCGGCCTCTCCGCCCGCCGTGCCCGGGGGCGGCCGGGGCACAGCTGGGGGCGGCCCCGCCTCCTGCACACGCCTCCCTCGTCGGAAGCACAATTGGTTGTAGTTTGAGCACAATGATGGGCGGCTGCGTGCCAGGCGGGAGCTCTGGGCCGGTTTGGACCACGGCGGCCACGGCGGGGGCGGCCACGGCGGGGGCAGCCACGGCGGGGGGCGGCCCTCGCTCAGACCAGGCCCCGCCCGGGGCTCCGGCTAACTTGGGGCCCGTCTTCTTCCTCTTCTGCACCCCCTCCGCCCCCCACCCCGTCCCCCAAGGACCGGAGCCAGGCCACGTGGGAGTGCCGTGGCCCGGAAGCAGGCGCCCTGTCTGGACCCCCCCCCACCCCAAATCCTTCCCCGCCTGAGCCCGTGCGGGGCCCTGTGAGTCCGGGCCCCATCGCCTGGCCCCTGTGAATGCTTTTTAAATGTTCCTTTCAGAGAGGAAGGGAGAGAGAGAGAGAGAGAGAGAGAGAGAGAGAAGCATCCATGAGGAGAGGATCACAGACCGGCTGCCTCCTGCACGCCCCCCACTGGGGACGGAGCCCGCCACCCGGGCCTGTGCCCCGACCGGGAATCGAACCGACCGCCTGGTTCACAGGTCGATGCTCGGCCACGGAGCCACGCCGGCCGGGCCTCTGCGAGTGCTTTTGACGCCACTTGGCGAGCAGAGGGGGTGGGACGCACGGAGAGCAGAGTACCCCCCGCTGCCCGGGCGCCTCAGCGCCGTCGGCCCATCGTCCGCAGTGTTAACCATGTTACCGCTCAGTGTCGGCCTCAGTGGAGTGACCCCCACCCGCCCCCCGGCAGCCCTCGCTGGCCTCGGCTCTGGAGGCCGCCCAGGCAGGGGGAAGGGGCAGAGGCTGGGACCCCCCGACCCCCATCCCTCACGGCAGCTGCACCCGGGACGCCGGCCGCCTCCGGGGCGGGGCTGGACAGCTGCAGCAGCCGCGGCCACCGGCTCTCACCGCGCTTTCTCACGCCGGCCTGGGGGGCGCAGGTGGCAGCTGCTGGGATGGGGGGGGGGGGTGCCCAGCTCCGTCAGAGGCCGGCCCCCTCCTGGGCGGCTCCCTCCCTCCAGCTGCCCCGGCCCTGCCTGTGCCTCGGAGTCTGTGCCCGAGCGCTGAGCCCCTTCCCGGGGGACGGCCCAAACCCGGGCCTCCGCCCCCCTCACCGTCCCAACTGGTCGCTGCCTGTCACTCTGAGCTCGGCCGCTGCAGCCCTCACAGCCCCCCACAACCCGAGCCTCGCCCCCTCTCCGGCCCCGGATCCTGGGCTGCCTGCCTCCTGGACAAGGAAAGGTTCTCTCCTGTGGCTTCGTTCTGTTCCCTCCCCTGGCCCCTCCCTGCACTCAGATGAGCCCGACCGACCCGCCCCTGCCCCCCCTGGCCAGTCCTGGGCGCCCCGAGGCCCGCGCCCCGGAGTGGAGCCTGCCCCTCGAAGAAGAGCCAGAGGGTCAGAGGAGACCTCTGCAGCTACCCGGGCCGCCCCGCCCGCCAGCTCTGCCCCAGCCTCCGCCCGCACGCCCAGGCTGCGGGCCTGTGGCCCCCGCGTGGCCAGCACAGGCGTGTACTCTGTACCTCCATCCGGACGGCACATCGTGTACGAGTTATTTAAGCCCGCGGCCAGCTCTGTCCCCGGCGGACGTTGTCAGAATAAAACCCGAGTGACCGTGGCCGGTGGGGTGTGGTTCCTGGGCCCCTTTCCGTGGGGGACGGGCCTCCGGGGGTTTGTATGAGCTCGCCGTGCCCTCGAACAAACCCCGCTCCGGCCTCAACCAGCGGAGACCGGCCGGCCCAGGACAGCCGTCGGCAAACTCCGTCCGCAGAGCCAAACACCATTGGCACAGCGCCGGACAGGTCTCCGGAGAGCCACATTTTTAAACTCACACGTCTCCTAACGCCACGTCTTCCGCACAGACCCGCCCGGGCCGCGGGGTTTGGTGGAAGAGCCGCGCTCCAGGGGCCCGAGAGCCGCGTGTGGCTGGTGAGCCGCAGTTTGCCGACCGCGGGCCCCAGAACCCCCGGCTCAGCTGGGACGGCTCCGCTCCCAGGCTGGGAAGCGGGCGGACGGTCCCCCAGAATCCCGGCTCTGGCCTCGGAGCGGGCGGAGGGTGGCTGTGGGGGGGGAGGGGGGCCTGGGCCAGGGGATCGCTGCTGAGGGGTGGCCCCCGCCCGCCCCCCTCCTGCTGGGCACGGCTCACCTGGAGAGACCGGAGGCCTGCGCCCCGCACTCCCTAATTTCCTGCTGCTTGTCCTCACCTGAGGATATTTTCCACTGATTTTTAGAGAGAGTGGAAGGAAGAGAGGGAGAGGGAGAGAAACATCGATGTGAGAGACACAGGGATTGGCTGCCTCCCACAGGCATCAAGCCTGCCGCCGAGGTATCGAACCCGGGACCCTTCAGTCCTTGGGCCGGCGGCGCTCCACCCACTGAGCCACAGGCCAGGGCAACGGAAGTTCCTCCTTTTATTGTGAAGGTTGCCCAGGCCCTCGCCCCCACCTCCAGCCCGGGGCTCAGGAGCCGCCCGCCCGCTCTGGCCCGCCCCCCGAGGGTGCGGGTCCGTCAGCGTCGCCAGCAGCAGAGCCAGCAGGTCCGGGGCCGGGCCGGCCGGCTCCTGCTGGCTTCCAGGACGTGCAGGGTCTGCGTGGCCAGGCAGCTGACCGCGGGGTCGGGGTCCTCGCCCATGGACCTCAGGGCTGGAACGGAAACGGCGGGTGCGCCCGGCCGGTGGCTGAGGGGTCCGACCAGGAGGGGGCGCTCCTCCAGGGATGCGGGCTCCATCCCACAGGGGGCGTGCAGGGGGCAGCCAGTCCATGATTCTCTCATCATTCATCTCTCTCTCTCTCTCTCTCTCTCTCTCTCTCTCTCTCTCTCTCTCTCTCTCTCCCTCTCTCTGAGAAATCAATAAAAATATATATTTTTAAAATCCTCACTTGTGTGGCTCAGTGGATAGAGCGCCAGCCTGCAGACGGAAGGGTCCCGGGTTCGATGCCGGTCAAGGGCACGCACCTTGGTTGCGGGCACATCCCCAGTGGGGGGCGTTCAGGAGGCGACTGGTGGATGTTTCTCTCTCATCGACGTTTCTGACTCTCTCTCCCTCCCCCTTCCTCTCTGTGAAAAAGTCAATAAAAAATATTTTTAAAAAAAGGAAGACCGGGCACTTGGCCCAGAGACGCTGCCAGGCAGGCGAGCAATGGCGGGGGGGGGGGGGGGGGGGCTCCCCAGGAGGCTGCACAGAAGCGGGAATGGGGGGCAGGTGCTGGTGGCGCTGAAATAGGAGCTCAGTTCCTCTGGGGCCTCGCTGCTCGGTCGCCACGTACGGGCCACGGGCTCGGGGTGACTCCGGGGCCTCTGCCACTCACCCTCGGAGGCCTCCGCAACGTCACTGGCCTTGGCCACGGCGGGGCTCTGGATGATCTGGCCTGCGGGGGGCACAGCACCTCAGGCCCACGGAGCGGGGAGGGGCCTGGTGCACCTGCTCAGAGCCCCTCCCCAGGCCCTCCCTCCTCCCCTGGTCCCTCCCTCTCCTGGTCCCTCCCTCCCTCCCTCGTCCCTCCCTCCCTCCTCCCCTGGTCCCTCCCTCTCCTGGTCCCTCCCTCCCTCCCTCGTCCCTCCCTCCCTCCTCCCCTGGTCCCTCCCTCCCTCAGCCCTCCCTCCCTCCCCAGGCCCTCCCTCCTCCCCTGATCCCTCCCTCCTCAGTCCTCCCTCCCTTCCCTGGTCCCTCCCTCCCTCCCCGGACCCCCCTTCCTCCTCAGCCCCTCCCTCCCCCCTCCCCTGGTCCCTCCCTCCCCTGGTCCCTACCTCCTCAGCCCTCCCTCCCTCCCCTGGTTCCTCCCTCCCTCCCCAGCCCCTCCCTCCTCCCCTGGTCTGTCGCTCCCACCCCAAACTGGACCTGGACGCCAGCCTCCCCTTTGGATGTCACCCAGGAAGTTGAACCGTCCCTGCTTCTTGGAAGGGTGGGGGCGTGCGGGGAGGGGGGGGACGGAGAGGAGGCCCCTGTGCTCCCACGGAGGGAGCACCCCAGCCCTGACCCCCACCGCCTGGGAGGTCTGCGGGCCCGGCCTCCGGGACGAGGCCCGTGCTGCCCCAGAAAGGAGCTCCCCGAGGCAGAGGGAGCAGCCGGGCCGGTCCTCCCGCCCCCGGGCCCTGAGTCCTGGGCTGAGCCATGGGAGGGGGGGGGACCCCGGGACCAGGACACCGGCGGGGGCGGCGCCCACCTGTGAACCACACGGCAGCCTGGCGGACGGGGGCCTGGGGGCTCTGGAGCAGGGCCAGGCTCTGGGACAGCAGCCACCGGCCTCGGCCGGCCTCGTGCTCCAGCTGGGGGACAGGCAGCCGGTCAGAGGGGACCCCACAGGCAGGGGCACCCCCCGACCCGGGTCCCCGCTCACCAGGGCTCTGAGGATCCTCCACAGGTCCCCGCTGGTGAAGATGGGGCGCAGCCGCCTCCAGCCCAGGAGGGAGGCCAGGCTGCGGAGGGCCAGCCGGCAGACCTGGCAGAGGAGGCCGGGCTGGGGGCGGGCTGGGAGGGGACGGGGGGAGGGCAGGGGTCTGGGAGGGCACGGAGGGGGGCAGACGCCGGGCGGGGGCACCTGGGGTTGGAGGAGGGCAGGGTTTCCAGGCAACTTTCCCACCGGCAGGGGGTTTACTTTAGTGTTTTATTTATTTATTTTTAAGATATAGCTTATTCATTTCCCACAGAGAGGGGAAGGGAGAGGGGGAGAGAGTTAGAAACCTCGATAAGAGAGAAACACCCATCAGCTGCCTCCTGCAGGCCCCCACTGGGGATGTGCCCGCAACCAAGGCACATGCCCTTGGCTGGAATCGAACCTGGGACCCTCCCGTCTGCAGGTCGACATTCCATCTACTGAGCAAAACTGGTCAGGGCTTTTTACTTTAAAATATATATATATTACAAAAAGGAAGGGAGAGGGGGAGAGAGTTAGAAACATCCATGATGAGAGAGAAACATCGGTCAGCTGCCTCCTGCACACCCCCTGCTGGGGACGGAGTCTGCGACCCAGGCCCGTACGTGCCCTTGGCCGGAATGAACCCGGACCCTTCCGTCCGCGGGGGATGCAGGGCCGAAGCCCCTTCCCCAGCGCCGCCCCCCACCCCAGCGGCAGGGCCCCCAGGGACCGGCCGGGCCTCACCTGGGCCACCCGGGCGTCCCTGTCCACCAGGTGCACCGCCAGGAGGACCAGCGTGCTGAGCAGCTGCTGCCGCAGCGGGGGCTCCAGGAACGACCTCCTGACCTTGGCCAGCAGCGCCCCGTAGATCTCGAAGGCCATCAGGCGCTGGGGCTCCGCCTCCTGAGCAGGGAGACACCCTCCGCCGCCGTCCACCCAGGGTCTCACCCCCCTGACCGACCGCACGGCCCCGGGACCCCCCCCCCCCAGTCACCGTCCCCTCTCCCCGTGCACAGTCCTTAGCCGGCCGGCGTGGCTCCGTTGTTGAGCATCGACTAATGAACCAGGAGGTCAGGGTTCGATTCCCGCTCAGGGCACAGGCCCGGGTGGCAGGCTCCATCCCCAGCGTGGGGCATGCAGGAGGCAGCTGGTTCACGATTCTCTCTCATCAGGGATGTGTCTGTCTGTCTCTCTCTCTCCTCTCTCTGTCTCTCTCTCTCTCCTCTCTCTGTCTCTCTCTCTCTCTCTCTCTCTCTCTCTCTCTCTCTCTCTCTCTCTCCTTCTCCCCTCCCCTCTGAAATCAATAAAAATCTAGTGTAGGCCCCAACCGGTGTGGCCTGTGGACTCAAGGGCCCCGGGTTCGATTCCGGTCAAGGGCATGCACCTTGGTTGCGGGCACATCACCAGGTGGGGGCGTGCAGGAGGCAGCTGGTGGATGTTTCTCTCTCATTTATGTTTCTAGCTCTCCCTCTCCCTTCCTCTCTCTCTCTCTCTCAAAAAAAAAAAAAATCAATAAAATATATATTTTTTAAAAAATCTATTTTAGAGAAGAGAGGACATAAGCCATCAGCCCCCAGAGAATGGCAGCCACGCCAAGGCAGCAGGGCCTTCCAGATCATTCCTCCCAACCCCCCCTTCTCCCCCGCACACACACACCCTGCCCTCCCCCAACCTCCCTCCCCCCTGCACACACACACCCCTGCCCTCCCCCAAACCCCCCTTCTCCCTCCCAAACACACACACCCCTGCCCTCCCCAGCCGCCCGGAGCTGGGAGATGAGCCGTGGGGGGCGGGGGCGGGCAGGGGGGGCCGTACCGCCTCGAAGAAGGGCCGCAGCGAGGAGACCAGCTGCACCAGGAGGGAGGGGGCCCTCCGGCGGGCGCCGTGCTCCACCAGGGCCCGCAGCACCCGGAAGGCCTCGCCGACCACCCCGGAGTCCTCCGCGCGCAGGCAGCGGAGCACGTGGGGCTGCAGGAGGCTCAGCCGCGGGGCCTGCGGAGGGAGGGACCCCGGGTGCTGGCGCCGTGCGGAGCCCGGCTCTCGCCCGGCGCCCCGGGGTGGCCGCGGAGGGCGCCGCGCGCCTCACCAGGTCCTCGTGCAGCGTGAAGGTCTCGGCCGCCCGCAGCAGCAGCGTCACGGTGGCCGGCTCCCCGCACCGGAACCAGCTGGCCAGCACGCGGGTGGCCGCCTCGTCCACGGCGGCCGCCACGTCCGGGCTCCGGAGCAGCTGGCAAAGGAGACGAGAGGGCATGGACCTCGGTGGCGGGCACATCCCCGAGGGGGGGTGCAGGAGGCAGCTGATGGGTGCTTCTCTCTCATCGGTGTTTCTGGCTCTCTCCCTCTCCCTTCCTCTCTGAAAAATCAATAAAATGTATTATATATATATTGTTTATATACATTATATTATATTATATTATATTATATTATATTATATTATATTATATTATATTATATTATAATATTATATTATATTTATTATATTATTATATTATATTTATTATATTATATTTATCATACTATATTTATTATATTATATTTATCATATTATATTTATCATATTATATTTATTATATTATATTATATTATATTATATTTATTATATTTATTATATTTATTATTATATTTATTATATTATATATATTATATTATATATATTATATTATATTATTTTATGTTATGTTATATTATATTGTATTAATTATATTATATTACATTATATTATATTATATCATATTATATCATATTATATCATATTTATTATATTTATTATATTATATTATATTATATTATATTATATTATATATAGACAGAACTCACCAGGCCCGTTCAGACCACTGTGCTGGCCTCTGGAGCCAGGCCGGCGGGAACGTGCCCGTGTCCCTGCGCGTGCCCACCGCGGGGTTGACCGCGGGAAGACCCACCTCCGTCAGCAGCTCGAGGGCCGTGCGGTGGTCCTTGTAGTCCTGCTCCTGGAGCATCTGGATGATGAGGCTGAACACGGGGCGGCTGTGCCAGCACTCCTTGCTCACCATGGCCCTGGGCGCGGGGCTGGGTCAGGCCTGGCCGCAGGCACCCACAGGAGGGCCCGGGGCCAGGGACACAGCCAGGCTTAGCAGGGGCACCCAGGGGGCCAGGGCGGGACACAGGCGGCCGGGGCAGGCACACAGGGGCACCCAGGGGGCCGGGGCGGGCATACAGGGGAACCCAGGGGACAGGGGCACCCTAGGGGACTGGGGCGGCACACAGGGCACGCAGGAGGCCAGGAGGGCACCCAGGGGCACCCAGAGGTCCGAGCGGGCACACAGGGGCACCCAGGGGGCTAGACGGGCACCCAGGGGCACCCAGAGGCCAGGGCGGGCACCCAGGGGCACCCAGGGGGCCGGGTGGGCACACAGGGCACCCAGGGGGCCAGGGCAGGCACACAGGGGCACCCAGAGGTCCGGGCGGGTACCCAGGGGCACCCAGAGGCCAGAGCAGGCACCCAGGAGGCCAGGGCAGGCACCCAGGGGCACCCAGAGGTCCGGGCGGGCACACAGGGCACCCAGAGGTCCGGGCGGGCACCCAGGGGCACCCAGGGGCACCCAGGGGGCCGGGCGGGCACCCAGGGGCACCCAGGGGGCCGGCGGGCACCCAGGAGCACCCAGAGGACCAGGCGGGCACCAAGGGGCACCCAGGGGGCCGGCGGGCACCGCGCGGGCTCACCTGGCCAGCACAGTGACGCCCTCATAGTGCCTCTCGGGGCTGGTGAGCAGCCCCCAGCCGCCCAGGGCCTGCACGGCGGACACCAGCTCCCCGTAGCCCGCGCTCCACAGGAGGGCCTTCAGGGCCTCGACGGTGGAGCTGGGGAGGGACCGGGAGCAGACTGGTCAGCCGCCCCTCCGCCCCGCCCCCCCCCCGCCCCCTGGAAACTCCCTGAGGGCTGCGGGGGGCGGAGCCACCGTCCACACTGAGGACCAGGCCCCGCGGGGAAGCCGGGAGCCAGCAGGGGGCAGGCCTGAGTCCAGGGCTGTGGGCACAGAACCCTGGCCTCGGCCCAGGAGCCAGAATTAACGTCTTCTTGGCGTGGCTCCATAGTTGAACATGGGCCTGGGGACCGAAGGGTCCCGGGTTCGATTCCGGTCAAGGGCACGGACCTCGGCGGCAGGCTCCTCACCGACCCCAGGGCCCTGGTCGGGGCTCGGGCAGGAGGCAACCCATCCATGGGTCTCTCTCACATCGATGTTCCTCTCAGTCTCTCCCTCTCTCTTCCACGCTCTCTAAACATCCATCGAAAAATATCCTCAGGTGAGGATTTAACAATTAAATAAAAAAAACAAAACAAATAAAAAGTCACCCTAGCTGGTGTGGCTCAGTGGATAGAGCATCGGCCTAAGGACGGAAGGGTCCCAGGTTTGATTCTGGTCTGGGGCGCAGGCCTGTATTGTGGGCTCAGTTCTCAGTCGGGGACATAAAGGAGGCAGCCAATCCATGATTCCCTCTCGTCATTGATGTTTCTATCTCTCTCCCTTCCTCTCTAAAATCAATTAAAAATTTCTTTTCCAAACGTCCACTGAGCCTGGCCGGTGTGGCTCAAAGGTTGAGCATCAACCTATGAACCGAAGGTCAGGGTTCGATTGCCAGTCAGGGCACAGGCCCGGGTTGTGGGCTCGGTCCCCAGTGGGGGCGTGCAGGAGGCAGCCGATCCATGATTCTCCCTCAACATGGATGTCTCTCTCTCTCTCTCTCTCTCTCTCTCTCTCTCTCTCCCTCCCTCCCTCTCCCTTCCTCTCTGAAATCAATAAAACATAAAATAAAATAAAAAATGATCTGCCTGCCCCCTACCTATAGCCCTTCCCCACCACCGCCCCCTGTTGTCAATGAAACAAGTTGCAGTGGGGTGTGGGGAGCCAGCCCCGTGTCCCGGCCAGCGGTGAGGGGGGTCGGGAGGTGGCAGGGGACACCCGGATGGGGGTGTTCAGAGGGTGGGCCCCGGGGACCAGCGGTACCTGACGGGGTCCGTCCACTTGGTGACAGTCTGGTCGCTCTGGGCGGCCCCGGCCCCACCCTGCACCACCAGGAAGGCCGTCTGGATCAGCAGCGCCATGAACAGCGGCGGAAACAGCACCTGCACCTCCGTCCGCTGCCTGGGCTCCAGCAGCAGCTCCTGGATGGCCCTGGTGGCCTGGGGCGGGCGGAGGGCGGGCAGAGGGCGGGCCCCTGGGCATCGCTGCCGCCAGGAGACCTCCACCCACAGTGACCCCCACGGGCTGGTCCAGAAACCCCAGGCGTGGGAGTCGGAAAAAGTCAAGGGAAAATTCCTAGAATGCAACTATTTTAATTTCTTTTTTCCTTTTTCTTTTTTTCTTTAGAATCTTTTTTTTTTTTAAATTATTGATTTCAGAGAGGAAGGGAGAGGAAGAGACTGAAACGTCAATGACGAGCGAGAACAATTGATTGGCTGCCTCCTGCACGCCCCCTACTGGGCACGCGCCCTGACCAGGATGGACCTGGAGGCCTCTTGGTTCCTGGGTCAAGGCTCACCCGCCGAGCCACACCGCCGTGCAGAACGCCATGATGTTAAAGTGCGCCCGACACTGCCCGTTGCTTATTGCCTCACCGTCCCTGACAGTTAACGGGGGCCTGGGGGGTCGGTCCCCTAAGCCGCCCGGGGAGAAATGGACGCTGCCCTGTCCCCCAGAGGGACTGCGAAACCCCCCAGGATCGCACCCCAGACTCTGGAACGTCCCACCCAACACTGAGAGGAGGGCGAGAGGCCCAAGGAGCTCAGGACAGCAGGGCCTGGGCAGGAGGAGCCCCACCCCCCCCCAGCGCCCCTTCCCAGCCCCAGCACCCTGCCACAGGGCCCCGCCCACCCACAGGGCCCCGCCCAGCCACAGGGCCCCACCCAATCCAGGGCCCCGCCCAGACACAGGGGCCCGCCCAGCCACAGGGGCCCGCCCAGCCACAGGGCCCCGCCCAGCCACAGGGCCCCGCCCACCCACAGGGGCCCCGCCCAGCCACAGGGCCCCACCCAGCCACAGGGCCCCGCCCAGCCACAGGGCCCAGCCGACCCAGAGCCCCGCCCAATCCCAGCGCCCCGCCCAGACACAGGGCCCCGCCCAGATACAGGGCCCCGCCCAATCCCAGGGCCCCACCCACCCACAGGGCCCTGCCCAGACACGGGGCCCCGCCCAATCCCAGGGCCCCACCCACCCACAGGCCCCGCCCAATCACAGGGCCCCGCTCAGACACAGGGCTCCGCCCACCCACAGGCCCCGCCCAGCCCGGCCCCGCCTACGATCAGCGGGGAGATCTGCGTCCTGTCGCTGGCCTCCGGGGCCCTGCGCTTCAGGTGCAGCGTCAGCCTCCGCAGCAGGTGCTCCATGATCACCACGTAGCTCTGCGGGATCGCCGCCAGGATCTCCCAGGGTTTGCGGTTCCCCTTGCTGAGGCAGAAACCCAGCGGCTTATCCCCCTCCACAGCCCGCCGGGCCCCCCGCCCAGCACCGATCAAACCCACAGCGGGCAGCCAGGCCACCCAGCACCCCGCCGTGAGCAGAAGGACGCCAAGCGGGGCAGAGCGCCGAGAGGGGAGCCGATCAGGGAAAGCTGCCTCGCCCTGGCCGCCCGCTGTGGCTCCGTGCGCAGAGCGTCCGCCTGTGGACCGAAGGGTCCTGGGTTCAATTCCAGCCCAGGGCACCTACCCTGGTCTGGGCGCAAGCAGGAGGCAACTAGTCGATGTGTTTATCTCACATCGATATTTCTCTCTGCCAGTCTCTCTCTAAAAATCAGTGGTGGGACAATCACCGGAAAGAGGACTGAGAAGGAGAAGAAACGGGATCCGTTTGAGAAGGAGCGGACCGGAGGCCCGTGGGGCGCGCGCGGGGGCCGGCCGGGGGGCCCACCTGTAGGACTGGTCCTGCACCTTGAGCAACGTCAGGATGACGTCGTCGGCGTAGGCCTGGGCCAGCAGCTGGAGGACCTTCTTCATGGTCTCCTGGGCCGTGGCCTCGGTGATTCGGTTCATGTTGTGGTAAATGAATTCCACGATTTCTGGGACCTGAGACGGGGGGAGTGGGGGGGAGACAGAGGTTCCTTTCTGGATCCCAACCCCCGCTCATCAGGAGACCCGTAGCCGGGCTCCCCGATTGCCGGTCTCCCCAATAGCCTGCACTTCTGTGGAGGGCGGGGTGCACCGGGAAGAGGATTTGAAGCTCACACAACATTGCCCATCAATGGAAACTGAAAAATAAATTTTTTAAAATACATTTTTTTTATTGATTTCAGAGAGGAAGGGAGAGAACGAGAGAAACATCCATGAGGAGAGAGGATCATGGACCGGCTGCCTCCTGCACGCCCCCTACTGGGGATGGAGCCCACAGCCCGGGCCTGCGCCCTGACTGGGGTTGCCGGCTTAATCTCCAGCAGCCTGTGGGTGATTCCCCCTCTTCCTTCCTCTCTGAATTCAATAAAAAGATTTTTTTTTGAAGAAGAAGAAGAGGAAGAAGAGGAAGGAGGAACCCTGACATTGACTCTGAACCATCCGGCCCCTCCCGGCGGCGGCTACCTTGCTGATCTCCGGCACCGAGGACTTCAGGGTCATCGTCAGGATCTTGGACGCCGCCCTGACGTGGTCCTCCTCGGCGTTGGCCATGGCCTCCATGAACACCATGATGGCGTCCATCCTCTCCTCCGGCGTCAGGAACTCCCTGAAGAACTGGAGGAAGAGACGGTGCTGTTGCTGAAACCGGTGTGGCTCCGTGGATAGAGCGTCAGCCTGCGGACTGAAAGGTCCCAGGTTCGATTCCGGCCAAGGACATGGACCTCGGTGGCGGGCACATCCCCGGTGGGGGGTGTGCAAGAGGCAGCTGATGGATGTTTCTCTCACATCGGTGTTTCTAACTCTCTATCCTTCTCCCTTCCTCTTGTAAAATATCAATAAAATATATTTTTTTTAAACACACACACAAAAACAGGTTCTGTGGCAGCTGCCGGGGCGGGAGTGGGGGGGGGGGTGTCTGCCTGTGGGTAAAAATGAGACGTTTCCGAGTTG